TCTTTGCTGCTGCTGGCGTGGTCGCTGTGCTCTCGGCCCTTCGCCCTTTTTCTCTGCCTGTGTCTTGCTGTGTGTGCGGGCGGTGCCCATCGTTGTATCGATCTTTTTTCCCCTTTTTTGTTTCTTCTTTACTTCTTTTCAATACATACACGCGGGAGGAAAGAGACCAAACGCTACTTGCTGCTGTGCACATTGAAACGCTCTGCAGTCACCACCAGCAACACACACACACACACAATCGTCGCGGCCTGAAAGCATTCCCTACAAGGAGTGAAGGGAGACAGTGAGTGAGAGTAACACATGCTCAAAATGTCCCGGCGCATGTTTTTGTATTCGGTGCAGCTCCTTTTCTGCGTGCTGTTGGTGTGCTGCGGCGGTACGGCTGTGTACGGTGAGGAGGGAAATACGCCAAAGGAAGCGCAAACACCAGAGGCTGTTGATCTTTTTGTGCCGCGTCAAACGATTGTGGAAACACAAGGCCAAAGTCAAACGAGGGATTCTTTTGCCCACCCTTCCCTCGCCAGTGCTGGTGGAGTTTTGGTTGCGCTTGCCGAGGGTAACATATTCTTTCAACACCCCCGTAATAATCAGACTTTGGTCACTTGCGCTGATGTTGTGGCGGGGTACATTGACCCTGCGGAGAACTGGTCGTCTTTTGTTGCTGAGGTAAGTGCAAACGAATGGAAGGCGCACAGCATCTTTAACGCGACCACGCAAGAGGAGCATAACGACCGTGTGATATACGAGGTCCGACCCACAACAATTGCAAAGGGTAACAAGGTTTTTCTACTCGTGGGGGGCTATCATCAGAAGTATGATCCTTCATCGAAGAAGTGGACTGCATCCTCACAGGATCTTGATTTGCTCGTGGGTGAGGCCATGCAAGATAAAGTCATTCAATGGGGCGAACCCACCTCGCTTGTACCACAGATCAAACCATCTGCTAAACAACGTGGCCTGGAGCAGTTTGTTGGTGGTGGTGGCTCGGGCGTTGTGATGGAGGATGGCACGCTTGTGTTTCCTGTGACGGCGAGGATGACAGGAGACAACGAAACTGTGTCCATGATCATTTATTCGAAGGACGACGGCAAAAATTGGACGCTTTCACATGGGATGCTCCCCGTGGGGTGCACTGACCCCCTCATCGTTGAGTGGGAGCAGGGGCAGCTTGTCATGGTTGCCAAATGTGATTTGCTCTCCAATGTGTTCGAGTCGAGGGACATGGGGGCAACGTGGAGGGAGGCTGTCAGGACACTCACACGCGTGCAGCCCAGGTTTTCACCACAGTTATTGCAACGGGTTTGGACTGTGGCATCCCTCACCACTGCGACCATTGCTGAAAAGAAGGTCATGCTGTACACTCAGAAAGGGGCTTACTTTGAGGAGACAGTGACATATAAGCTCTACCTTTGGGTTGCTGACAACAACCGCACGTTTCACCTCGGGCCCATTTCCATAGACACTGCAGTGGAGGTGGCGTCTGACAACGCCCTGCTGCAGTCTAATGATGCGCTGCATCTTTTACAAGTGAAGGGCAATGACAGGGCAAGCAGTCTGTTTTTTACTTCTTTGCCGGAGCAGCTGAAGACGATTACGTCCGTCTTGGAGACTTGGGCAGAAATGGACTCCTACCTCTCCGAGTTGTCAGTGCCCACGGCCGGTCTGGTTGGATTCTTGTCAGGTGCATCGGGTGAAGGAACTTGGAGCGACGCGTACCGTTGCTTGAATGCAACTGTGGCGAATGCAACGAAGGTCGAAGATGGCTTTAAGTTCACAGGGTCCGAATCATACGCCATGTGGCCTGTGAACATGTGGAAGCATCACTATGTTGACAGCTTTGTGGATTACGAGTTTGCGCTTGTGGCGACGGTGACCATCGATGAGGTTCCGAACGAGAGCGTTCCTCTGCTGGGCGCGGGCCTGGAGGACAATGAAAACACAAAGTTTGTGGGGCTGTTGTACACAACGGAGAAACGGTGGGGGACAGTCTTCAACGGCATGACAACAACAACACACAACAGCACTTGGGAGCCGGGGAAGGAGTACAAAGTGGCGCTCATGCTGGAGGGTAACAAGGGCTCCGTGTACGTGGACGGCGTGCTTGTGGGGAGCTCTGACACACTACCAACCCCTGAGTCACGGAGGCATGATATCTCTCATTTTTACTTTGGTGGCGGTAAAAACAGCAGTGTGACAGTGAGGAATGTCTTTTTGTACAATCGCCCACTGAATGCCATGGAACTCAAAAAGGTTGACGGCTCTGATGCGTCTGAGCAACGTACAGTTAACAGCTTTAATGCGTCTGAGGACGGTGCAGGTGGCAGCTTCGATACCTTTGAGCAACGTACAGTTAGCAGATCCAAGGCATCTGAGCAAAGTACAGTTGACAGTTCCAAGGCATCTGAGCAAAGTACAGCTGACGGTTCCACGCGTGCTGATGTTTTCTGGGTGTCAATTCTGCTGCTATTGGGGCAGTGGGGCTTTGCGGCCCTCTGCTGAGTGGAGGCCGGTGGAGGAGAGTTTATGCTTCTACTGATAGCACCTCCGTCTCTCCACGTGTCCTGAGAACTAAATAAAGTCTTAGGAGGGCACGTATTTTGTTGTATTTTCCGCCATTTTTTTTTTTACTTTACTTTAAGCATATTATTATTATTATTTTTTTTTTTGGACCCACAAACTGCGCTCTTTCATCAGCGCCAGCACAGAGGGGTCTTCATTTTTTTTTGTTCCTCCCTTTTTGTTTATTATATTGTTCGCTTCTATCAATGATAGGAGACCATTTACCGATTTGCTTTTTAGTGTATTGGTTCAGTGTTTTGTTGGTTTACTGCTTTACGGATGTATTTTTTTTTGTTGATTTGCCGGTTGTTGTTTTGTCGGTTTGTTCTCGGCGACGGCGTTGAGCCTGCGTGTTTGCCTGGCGGCGGGAGATGCTTCACTGCGCCTCCGCAATGCTGTCGTCGCAGGAGGGAGCGGGGCTCTCTCTTTCCTTCACGTCTTGATTTTTGGCGTGGGTAGACGTGTGCCACGGTGCCGGATGACGCGCAGGCCATCGAATTCGTTCGAAAATACACGAATAAAAACAACTAGCCGCTTACGTTGGGTGTCTGCGGACATTCTTGGCATTGTGTGTCCGCCGATATGAAA